CGCTAGCGTACGGCGATTTCGCCTGTCACGCGAAAAAGGCCGCCATGTCCTCTCTCAGATTTCTCTCTGACTCAGCCAAGAACTCTGCGTTGACGGTGGCGACACAGAATCAGATTGCGGTTTGGCGACACTGTTAGCCACACACTTAAACACGAGCCCATGGCCGTGTGCTCGCCTGTGGCGCGCCGAAGGTGAACGAGACAGCGAGGTCCTTCTAAAACTAGTCGCTTGTTTCAAACTACCGAAAATCCTTTTTCGGCAATCTTGGCCGCTCGGCGGTTCTAGGTATCAATAAAGGGCGGGGAGCATTCTAAATAACATATAAGTTTTAATAAATTATAGTAATATATAGTGTACACCTTCCATTAATCCAGAATAGTATAAATCATGTTAAAATGCAACGGTTTACGAGATATTTAATTGTTTACGATTTTTCATGCACGTTACATACCTACTTCATAAACTCGAGTAGCAAGAATAGTTCAGTAGAAGTAGAATTTTACCGAAAAAAAATTATAAACCAGCATTTCTTTTCACGAAAGTCTCGAAAGGCCATATCAAAAAAGAAATGCGTACGTTTGAGACTTGCGACTTGTGAAGAAAATATGCGAAAAAAAAATCGAATAGTTGCAAAAAGCACGTTTTTCGCTTATAAAACGAAAGATATTGATTGTATGAAAAAAAAGTTTGATATAAAAAAGGTAGGTATTCGAAATACCTACAAAATGAGACGTGCAACATTAAAATCGATCTATTAGTTAAGTAAAAAAAAATAAAAACCATCGGAAAACATTTTCCCCCAATATTTCGGATTGTACAAAATTAAAAAAAAAATATTCACGCAATTTCACGTAAAATACCTGCTTCAAACGTTCAAACCAATGTACCTTTAAACTCACATAACTTCGTCAATTTTTTTCGAATCGACTTGAAATTTACAGGGAAGATTTTTAAAAGTATGTACTTTAAGAAAATATCAAAATCCAAAAATCGATTTTTTTTTTTAAGTTTACAAGTAGGCATAACCCCTTAAGTTTTCCGCAAACAGGTTTTTAGTGAACAAATGATTTTTTGCAAAAACTAATGAATATTTTAGGCTTGTTTAGGGCTAGATTTGTTCTTCATTACGAGGGCTACATTTTACGAGAATTTCCAAGCTTTGCGTTTAAATCTCAATTAACAGAGAGAGAGTGAAAAAAGGCCTTTTTCGGTGTTTTTTATTTTTTTTCTACTGAACTAATAGATCGATTTTAATGTTCCATGTCTCATTTTGTAGGTATTTCGAATACCTATAACATTTTTTATACCGAACTTTCTTCCATGCAACCAATATCTTTCGTTTTATAAGCGAAAAACGTGCTTTTTACAACTATTCGATTTTTTTTCGCATATTTTCTTCACAAGTCTCGAATCTCAAACATACGCATTTCTTTTCTGATGGCCTTTCAAAGATTTTCGTGGAGAGAAATGATGGTTTATAATTTTTTTCCGGTAAATTTCTACTTCTACTGAATTATTCTTGCTACTCGAGTTTATGAAGGAAGTATATAACGCGCATGAAAAGTCGTAAATAATTAAATATCTCGTAAACTGTTGCATTTTAATGTGATTTATACTATTCTGGATTAATGGAAGGTGTACACTATATTACTATAATTTATTAAAACTTATATGTTATTTAGAATGCTCCCCGCCCCTTATTGATGCCTAGGGCGACTGAGATTACCGAGAAGGCATTTTCGGTCGCTTGAAACAATTAGCGACTAGTGTGAGAAAAAGCTCGCTGTCTTGTTCGATCTCGGCATGTCGACGCGACGGCGAGAACACGTACATGGGCTCGTACTTGCATGTGTGTTACAGCGCCGCACCACGATTACAATAAATGGCTGAACTTGTAGGCGTGGAAAAGTGACGTTTTGACGATGAAATTTATGTTGCATGCCATTTCGTTATTATTTGTTTAATTGTGAAAATGTGACTTGTCTCGTACTTATCAAAGTCGTAATTATCGATGAAAACTAAAATTATCATAGAATTTTATATGTAAAAGCGTATATTTTACTCGTTTCAACAGCTGTCGGACCATATGATTCTGCCCGAATATAGGTTCACTTATTTACGTGCCTTTTACGACCATTTACTGACTGTCAAGGGAGGAAAGGACATCGATTTTTACAAGTGTTTTAAAGCGATCTCGTCATTTCGTTTCATCCAAATTGTCTTTATTTAAAAATGGCATGCAACATAAATTAACGTGTTATGCCTTGCTTCTGACGTCACGATTCCAACATGGCCGCTGCGACTAGTCAGGAGCCTTAACGCAACTTTAAATCCCTTTTCACAATTTATCCAGATAGCACAACTTATCCATTTGACAGTATTAAATATTAAATTTCATATTAAATTTGGAACCGTACATGTGACAACACAACCAATAAAAAATAAATACCTTTAACGATATAAATTACGCTTTATCTACTAGAATAGATTGAGACATTTTTTCGATTGCCATGTCACGTTTGTTATACAACTTATCAAGAAACATGGATACTCTAGTATTACGCGTAATTGGTTTCAAATTGTTTATATTTTTTTGCAAGTCAGGATAACATCTCTGATAATGAAGAATTGCACAAAAAAGATTCCATGGACTGAATTCAGGCCACATTACCTCGCTAAAGTAAAGACAAGTATGATCGATCTAAAAAAAATTTAGATAAAATTTGTAAATGCATAATTCTGCTTTGATTACAAGTAGATAGATTCAAACATTTCAAATCACACAAATTAAATACGTTTTCTTACTTGCCACATAAGGAAATCGCTAAGTCGAGTTTCTCCGGAAGTACGAATTAATAAATTTGGTTTCGGAGACTTGTAAGTGTACAAACAATCAGTAATCAGATCTTCGTTAATGTCTTCAGGTAAAATATCAGCATCCTTTACACCTTGTATTACATCCTTAATTGCATGAGTAATTTCATCCCTTGCTATAGCGATATTAAAAAATATAAAACTTATATATGCGTGTGGATGTGTGTGTGTATATATTTTTAAATTATATAAAATATTAAACATTTATTAATATATATGTCACGAAACTAATTATCCAGAGAGTACACCGATATAACAATGATTTTTTAAATTGTTTAATTAATTAGGCTGTGTAATTGTTTATAAGACATAAAAGGTCTGTTTTTTATTGCCGCACTTTCTGAACTAGTACACACAGTGCAATAAGTTGAAGTGAAACAAATATACGTTTGTTTCACTTTAACTTATTGCACTGGTTCAGAGTGCAGCAATAAAAAACAGACCTAAAGCAAGAAGGATGACACAAAGCAGAATGATGCAATAGCGCTGATAGCACAGTTTCTGAACGCAAGCTTAGTGTAATATATAAAATCAAGTATAAATATAAATATGGTTCATTGTAATTATACTTACATGTATAAGCAGCAGCAACATTTAAAATTATTCTATTATTTTCCCTAGTAGCAATCATAATTTCAGCAAATAATTTGCGTACATCTGCTGGCAGCAGGGACAAATTGCCAATCACACGAATGCATACTCCATCGTCTTTCAATTCTTCCCTGGAAATTGTTTATATAAATTTGTTTTAACAAATTCTATATTGTGCTGCCAATGTGATGCTTGATTTAAAAATTTTTTAATGTTACACATACTTCTTTTCTAAGAGACCCTTGAATTCCTGTCTGGCAAGATCTGTGAGAACATTAATTTCTTCTTTGCTACGTTTAAAATTTTCTATACTAAATGCAAAAACTGTGACTTCTGCAATACCGAGATATCTGCACAAGTATACCATCTGAATCATTTTGTGGAACCTATCGTAAATAAAATATAAAATATGGGACAAATGAACAATGGACCAGTATATTAGCAAATTTTCTTTAAAAATACATACCCTTTTAAGTATCCCTCTGCTTTGCTCAAGTTCTGTTTATTCGCATAACGTCTGTTACCATCCATGATAAATGCCACGTGTTTAGGCACTTCGCCAGTCTTAACGATCCTTAAAGCCAGAAGTTGAAACCAGTTCCAAATGCAGTCTTTTAACCACGACATTGTATTTTAAATTGCACGTTCGGGCGTACGAAAATGTACAATCTACGATCGACTGACTCTCTTCAATGTTTCAAAAATTTCTGTTACATTCACTATCCAATATGACTACTACTTGTCGACAAACACAGTATATTTCTTCTTCTTCTTCTTGCTACTGACTCTGCAACCTGACTGACTACTGCGAATAAAGTCCTATATATAGACAGGACTCTGGTACTAAACCATTTATGGTCTTCGAAAATGGACCAAAATAAATTAAATACAAGGCAATCAGCTTTCTCGAACCGAGCGAATAATAAAAAGGATGATGTGATCCAAACGAAAATAATAGGTCCTTCCCTCCCCCCAAATACGTTTAGACGTCTGCAGCTACGATGCTTCCACGCTGCATGACCGCGCGTCGAAACGAATGAAGGGACTTCGAATAATGTAATACAATGGCTGCGTTCAGCAGGCTCAACAATTTTGCAACTGTTTTGTGATTTTTCGCTGAGGTAGGACTATTCCTTTAACTCTAAAAATATAATCCAATCAGCGCGACAAATCATAAAACGGTTGCAAAACTACTGAATCTGCTGAGCGCAGCTATTGACACTGTCGAAGTCGGCAACGCTTTTCAAAAATAGATTCGAGTTGATGCAATACGAACACAGTATATATAATACTCATTAAGGCTTCTGATTATTCAGCCAAGAATTCTGTGTAGCAACACAGAATCAGACGGCGCCTGGCGAAACCGGTAATTCGTTTGGATCACATTAACCTTTTTATTATTCGCTCGGTTCGAGTAGGCTGGTGCTTTGCACGAACCCATGTACGTGTGCTCGCCTTCGGCGCGCCGAAAGTGAACGAGACAGCGAACTTCTTCTCACACTAGTCGCTTGTTTCCAAGGTTGGCAAGTAATGCGTAATACAATCTCTCCTTTTGTGGCTATTAGCAACACCAGATAGTTTTCGGTAACTAAACAAGTTATAAAAATTCAAAATATTTATTTTGTAATTTCGCATTTTTATTAGTTTGTAGATCAGTTAGTTGTCGTTTTGATTTAGGAAAGTCTACATTATCTGCTATTTTTATGCGAGTTGTAACTGCTTTAAATGAAATTTCTCCGGAAATAATATTTTGGCCAAATAGAGAGGAACACAACGCAAGCGCTATCTTTTCAAGCTTCTGCTGGAATAGAAGATATAATCGGTACTATCGATGGAACGTATATTGCTATCGAGGCTCCCAAGTAAGATAGTAAGGCCGATTCTAACTCACTATGATTAGTGCGTATACGTATACGATGTGTATATGTGTGTGTGTGAGGCGGAAATGCATCACAGACGCTGAGTCGTCCAAGGGAGAAGAAAGCGCATCACCGGCGGTCCGTGGCAGAGGGGAAGGATTCATTCCTTCTCTCTTTCACCCGTTGCGTTCTCTCTTTATCTCCTCTCATTATCTCCTATTGTCCTCTCTCTCCCACCCATTGTAGGATGCAGTTCTCTCTCCAACCCATTGCGGTCCTATACTTATTATTTGCGCTCTCTTTCTCCTATTGCGCTCTTTCCCACGTTGTCTTTTCTTCTCGCACGTGATTTAATTAAATAGATATTATATTTACGATTTTTAATGATACGACTTAGAAACTAATTATGTGATAATATTTTTATGAATTTTTAATAATATAATCTAGTAACACTAATTATGATAATAATTTTTAGTAATGTTGTACAAAAATGATCAAACACGCTTTCTTATCGATTAATTCAATACTTATTGAATCGTACTACTGAACAGCTATTATTAACTAATTCTTAACTACAGGGAAAGGGGAAAGAAATCAATATATGGTATATTAAAAAAAATTTTTTCATGCTTTATTTTAAATTTGATAGATTTCTTTTTGGCGTTGCGACCACCAGTTGTATATTTTAAATACATTTTGTAACGCACAATTCTTAACATGTTTTACACATCGCATAATATTAGTAACATTGTATTGCTTTTTTATTTGGAAGATTTAGGCGACTGAAAAACCTTGATATGAATCGAACGGATTTCGTAGCATCAACAATAATTGCTGCATACATATACTTAAATAAATACTGCGTGTTACATATACTTAAATAACAAAGAAAATGAAGAGATACGAAACACATTTATAGATAAGTTTATAGGGCAATATAGGGTTTATTGTCCTTCAGACAATGATGAATGATGCTGACAATGTTAATCATGAAGCAGCTATTTATTTTACGACGATATAAATACAGAATTGGAAAGAGAAGGTCACGAGACAGGATCGCAAACAATTTATATCCGTTTCGATAAATTACAAATTTCATAAATTATAATTGGTTTTATTTTATAATCATTCTAACAACGTCACTTTTTACATTTACAGTTTATTCGTATTTTCGATTTTTTTCAAAAATAGTTTAATTTAAAAGCATTATTTGTCGCAAAAAATACATTGGAAAACTTTGTAATATATAATAAATATAATATATTTAGTTTTTTTCTAGCCATTTGAATTCAAACCATCTTAACTCAAATAATTTTACTTACAAGCTACTTGTATGCTAACTATATTAGAAATGAAGGTAATTATTTAGCATACCATACCCCACCTAAAATCTTAATAAAAATACACTCATTCGACACGTTTTTACTCACAATGAAAGAATCTGGCAAAAAAATGCAGTGGTCGGCCTCGTGAAACGAGATAATTCGATATAGAAATGATTATTTCTATAAATAAATAAAATGTATTCATAGAAATCAGCCATATCGAATTTATATCGAATCGACGTCAATTCGATGTCGATATTGATATTAATTCGCTGAAAATTTGTTTGGATGACGAATATATGAATATGAGAAAGATTGCAGGTGATTTTTTTAATATTAATAAGTATTCGAAATCGTGGACACGATCGAATCAAAATCGACCTTTAAATTGATATAATTTTGACTAAATATTTTCGATGTCAAATCGATATCGATTCAAAATATCATTTTTCACTGGATAGGATACAAAAAACGCGATTTCATATTTTTATGAATCTTTATTTTTTAAGAACAAAAGTTTTTCGAACATTTCGTCTGATAATCGATTTCTACGTGGAATTAATATTTGTTGTCCACAATTAAAAAGGCGCTCTACCGGCACTGATGATGGCAATGATGTGTTATACATAAAAAAAATTTGTTTGACGTGTGGATACAAATTAAGAATATCTATTTTTTTAGATTTATTTTCTAAATATGAAAAAACTTCAATATTGCTTTGAACGTCTGATGTCACACTAATCTCAGTTTTTTTGTTTATATCACAAAAGAAATCCTCCTCACTACTACTAATACTACTACTACTGGAAGTTAATTGTTTAGTCTGAGAGTAAATTGCATTTTTGCAATACAAGTTATCTACTTCCTTTAAAAAGAGTTCTTTACATATCTTTATGTTATCTTCTGGCACCCAATTTAATTTAAATCTGGGTAAACTGATAGCAGATATAATAAACGGTTTACTATCAGGTGATCCAAGATCAAAAATAAATTTAAATCGTTTTTCTAAAGCTTGAATCATTCCAACTACAAATGGATTACAATATATTAAATGTGTAAATTTTGTAAGTTTTTGTCTTAGTATAGTAATTGTAGGTGCTAAACCTAAAAAATTTATTTTTTCTCTTCTTGTAACATATCAAGACTTGTTGCTAAAGGAGACATAATCATAATAAATTCTTCTAAGAATTCAATTTCAGTTGGTTTTAATTTTTGGAGCTTTAATTCTTATAATCTTGTACAATCTTAGATAGTTTGAAAAAGATAACATTTCTTTTATCTAAGATAAGATAAAGATAATCTATATTCTTAATAATCTAGATAAAGATAAGATAAAGCCATTTCTTCATCTAGATGATTATCTAGATAATTTTATCGAGATAACGGAAAACACTGGTTCGTACTTGCATGTGTGTAAGTAGACAGCGCCGCACCACGATTACAATAAATGGCTGAACTTGTAGGCGTGAAAAAGTGATGTTTTGACGATGAAATTTATATTGCATGCCATTTCGTTATTATTTATTTAATTGTAAAAATGTGACTTGTCTCGTACTTATCAAAGTCGTAATTATCGATGAAAACTAAAGTTATCATAGAATTTTATATGTAAAAGCGTATATTTTACTCGTTTCAACAGCTGTCGGACCGTATGTTTCTGCCCGAATATAGGTTCACTTATTTACGTGCCTTTTACGACCATTTACTGACTGTCAAGGGAGGAAAGGACATCGATTTTTACAAGTGTTTTAAAGCGATCTCGTCATTTCGTTTCATCCAAATTGTCTTTATTTAAAAATGGCATGCAACATAAATTAACGTGTCATTCCTCGCTTTTGACGTCACGATTCCAACATGGCCGCCACGACTAGTCAGGAGCCTTAAATATAAAAATTAAGGTATTACATATGGGCCTAGGGTTGGGTAAGTTAATTTTTTCTTTTAACTAAGTTAAGTTAAAGTTAACAACCTTGAAAATTTAACTTAGTTAAGATACAAGTTAATGTATAATGAAATTAGTTGAATTAAAAGTTAAGTTAATAAAAAAAAGTAATTGAAAAATTAAAAGTTAAATTTCTTTCTATTTTATGATTTTTCAGAGTCTTACAAATAACGGAAATAACAAACATATACTTCATTTAGAATATATTGTATATTTTATTTAAACTTTTTGTTTATATATACTGTTATATATATATTTTTTGTTTATATATATTGTTATATATATATATATATATATAGATTTCAACCTATCAAAAACTAGATACATTAAAATATACGGTTTTTGCTAGATTGAAATCAATATATAATAATATACACAAACAAAACTTTTAAGTAAAATATAGAGTATGTTCTAAATGATATATATGTTTGAGTCTGAGACTTAACTTCAAAAAATTTAAATAAAAAGTTAATAGTTATCGATAAAATGTAACTAAATAATGTTAAAAAGTTAAGAGTCTAAAATGTAGCTAAGTTAAGTTAAAATTATTTAACTTTTCAACTTTTAAACTTAACTTTTAGCTTTTTAACTTGGCACTATCCAACCCTGCATATGGCGATGATTGTTTGTGTTCTTCATTTATTATGGTGATAAAGAAAACCAATGTACTTATTATTAAATATTATTAAAATTTATCACTGTGCGATAGCCTATAGTCTTAAATCACTCGAGAAACGAGTGATTTAATATCGATTATTTAATATCAATTATTGCTGTTATTTCGCTATTATATTTATTACACACACTACATTACATTTACATAAAAATCAAACCTAATCTGTAATATTATTTTCATCGAATTATCTAGCGATTGGTAGCGACATCGATATGTCCACATCGCTTCGAATCAATTGATACGTATTAAATATTATTTCTCTCATTATGCTTAAATTTTCAGACAGTGAGCTTCATATCTCATGGCCGTGATGGCCCCTTGGAGGTACATTCTGCGTGGTGTATCACATTTGAAAGCTTCTCTTAGTATAGAAAATAACATTTTGCAGTTTAATTACCTTGGCTGATACGCTAAACAGCCATTCTGTATTTACTAAAATATTTCAAATTTAAATTTTATTTGATTTTGAGTGCAGTGTCCAGTTCTTTAAATCCATGTTTCCCAATATAAATATTTCACTAATTTTAGAATTTAATAAAATAAGAAAGATATTCTTAAGTAATACCAAATAATAAAATAAAAAATAAAAGATAATAATAAACAATTTATAATAAAAAAGACATATTTAAGTTAATTACTATTGATCGACGACGAAGCAATTGGGGGACATCGATTTAAGTTCAAATATTTAGCTTTATCATATTTTAATGCTCATTAAATATGAAAATTCTTTTTCAAATTACTACAATTAATATTACTAGCCTCTGGCTGTTATTATATTAATATCTATCAATTTATTATTCTTTTATTAATAAAACAAATTGTTTTCATATAGAGCGAAGCTGTGGATCCACATGATATGAGAAGAGAATTTCTTACTGGATTCCACGGAAGTGCTGGGATAGCTATAGTCACTATTGACAAGGCAGTACTTTGGACTGATGGTCGATATCATGTTCAAGCAAATCATCAGCTGGATTGCAACTGGATTTTAATGAAGCGAGGTGAACATAACGTGCGTAAATTAATTTAAATATTTTCATTATTTCCGTATCAAAGTCCTTATTCTATATTAAATTTGCAAGCTTATTAATCAATGATTTATTATTCATGTATATTATATATGCATATATGTATACATATATATATACAATTCTCTCTCTCTCTCTCTCTCTCTCTCTCTCTCTCTCTCTCTCTCTCTCTCGTCATTAATAAAATAATCTATTGCAACAATAGATGCATACACTTTTCTTGTCATAAAATTCATTCTCAATGCTTTCAATCTTAATTGTTATACATACCAGCTATTTATGACTTAAATAATTAAAATTCAAAGATAACAATAAACTTCAGAATAACAGTTTTGTTTATATACACATATATATATATATATAATGAATTATATATTTTTTTATCTAATTCTACTTTTCTAATGATAGCAAATGCTTTCTGTTGCTGTCCTCTTCTGATCACTGTTTTGACGAGTAACCTCGCCGGTCCCCAGGTGGCGAGACTATCTAGGTTTAAATTTAACTGTTCTGTAATTTCCTAGATGGCTTCACAGAAAGTTGTTTTCTCGTGTTTAAAATTTGACCACGACTACTATATCTTAGGATGATGCAGCGAGGAAATTTAAGATCATACTTCACAGGATCAGTTCTGTAGGAGTTGATCTCATTCTCCCTCCCTAACACGGGAGTTGATGTAACCATGATGAGGAGAAATAGCCCTCTTCTCTGAGCGTGAGAACGACACGAGTTCTCGACTTGTTTCGAGAACTCTGTCATCAATGATCGTTCACCCTTCGCATTCAATGCGTAGGGGGATGGGAAGAAGGGCGTTCTGAATGGTTGCTTCATTAAATTTAAACATAAAATTTTATTTTATTTGTGGTATTTGAGCAACGATCATATTTTTCTGTAGAAACGAAAAGTAAATATTTTTATGTATTTACATATATAATACATATACAAAAAATTTCACGTTTTGCCCTAAAGGGAAGAGTGTCGTAATCACGCTTATCCTGGCTGGACAATGAATGCAAGAGAGAGGCACACACGATGCTTTTTTTCTAGTTGGATAAGCTGAATTTGCGTTTTGCTACCGCTATTAGTGTACTAGCAGTGCCAACACCGCAGCCATATACACAATAGCAACGCTATTCACAATAGCAATCGCAAATTCAGCAGGAAAAAAAAGGCTTGTGTACCACCGGCTTAACACAATCATTTCATCTTTGTTTAACATTTAACAAACGACAAAGATACTATGATAATCGCGTATTTTGCTAGATAAACACGTCCAATATAATCGAGCCTAAAATATTAAAAATCTGTAGCATTCGTAGCTACACTAGATTTTCAGCACTGGCAATGAATGTCTGAAGTCTGCCTAGATGAATACAATTTTTTCTATCAAATACTATATAAACGTTTGTAATTATCATTGTCGTTGAACATTAAATATAAAATGAGAATAGAAGCGCTGGAAAGCACTTAAACCGAAAATGTGACCTTAAATTAAAAACGATATCAACGTCATAGAAAAAAAGGAAATATCTTCGATATAATTTAATAGATAAAGTAATATAACTCTTTATATAACATTACGAATATATTGAAAAGGATCAAGATCTTCAGCATCAATAACATAAGAATTTGCAACAAACGTTAAACCAATTATAAATTTTAAACGATATTAAGAACCTTTATTTTATATGTGATATCACAACAATACTAGAAATTTAAAATGCCTATTACAGTCGAAGCTGGATCTTCATTGCTTTTAAATAATTCAAACTAGAATTACTATATATACTATATATGTACTTACATATATATAATAGGCATTTTAAATTTCTAGTATAAATTTTCAAGATTATTGAAACTTTATAACATTTCGATATTTTCATTAATTTTTTTAGGTACCAACAATAACAGAATGGTTAATGCAAGAGTTCCAAAATCGATCAGAAGTACGTATTGGTGCTAATCCAAAACTAATACCTGCATTTACGTGGGAGACATGGGAGCACGAATTGGGTAACGAAAAATATTATTGTATCAAATACCTCTTTATTGCGATGTTATTGAATATATTAAATATATATAGCATACACGTACATATTTTTATTGCCGAAGGGGGGATAGTTTACACATTAATAAAAATCTATAATATTTTTGCTGTGTACAAAAATATTGCTTTGATAATAAATTTTTTTTCGGTTCATTTTCAAGTTTCAAAACAAATTCTATAACTATCATAAACCGCGAAGCCAAATCCGATCTTCTTTCACCGCGACTAACAATCTTATTCGTATTCAGCGAATTCGTCCGTGAGATTGGTCGCAGTCCATAACGACCTAGTGGACTTGATCTGGCAGGTGAGTCGACCTGAGTACAATCCGCACGCGGCGTATCCGCTGACGGACGAATACTCCGGCAAACCATGGCAGGAGAAAGTTCAGAGCATTCGACTGGAAATGGAGTACTCGTCGGTCGACGCGCTCGTCGTCACCGCGTTGGATGAGATAGCATGGCTCTTCAATGTTCGTGGCTACGATTTACCGCACACTCCTGTCCTCAGGGCCTACGCGATTATAACTCACGAGTCCCTGCATCTTTATGCTCCACGCCAAAAAATCCTGCGGTCCGTCGATATACATCTGAAAATCGACTTCTGCTCCCATGCAAACTGCGTCAAGTGAGTAATGATTAGTAGAATCTGGAAATTACCGTATCAGGCAACTTCCGACAAATAAAATAAGAAATTAAACGATAGACAAGGATGCAGATTTCTAATACAAAAGTAGAATTTATTGTACGTTGAATTTTAAGAAAAATAAAAGATTTTCAGACGTTACAAAATCAAGATATTTCTTAGTCTTTGTAAATTGTAGAAATTGCCATAATAATAAGATAAAACAGATTTATATAATGACCGATATTTACCGTTACAGATGGCACAATTACACAGACATTTGGTACGATTTAAAGACTATGTCTCAAGCCTGGAATACAGTGTGGCTCCCTTCACCGTACGGCTACTCGCCGGGTGCGTCCAAAGAAATATACAATTCCGTAAGTGTAATCGCGAAGACGGCAGTTTTGCATATATTTTAAGCACGAGAATACGTATAATATACGGCATCTATCTTCGAATAAGCAAATCCCCAAAGTCCGTTCTTCAGTATTATTACTTTTATCTCAAACTAGATATCGAACTTACTTATAGTTTAATCTGTCCGGGCTAATATTATTTTTAGATTAAAATATAAAAAAAAATAAAAAAACATTTACTTTTTTATAATCGATAATTATAAAAACTATACATATAATTAGCTTTAACTTATACAATTCAATATTATAAAAATATCCAGACACGAATATAGCTAATACGTGAGAATCTTTTTCGCAGATTCCACCAGAAAAAAGATTAGCTAAGGCCTCGCCTATAATTGATTTAAGAGCGGAGAAAAACAAAGTCGAAGTAGCAGGTATGAGAAGATCTCATCTAAGGGATGCGATGGCCATGTGTGATTTCTTGGCCTACATGGAAGAGCAGTACAAATTGGACTCTGAAGAATGGGACGAGATGCAAGTAGTGAGAGTGCTCAATGAAATTCGTTACGAGCAAGATGGCAATAGGGGTATCGCCTTCCCAACAATCGCAGGGTATGGACCACACGCCGCTATGCCGCATTACGAACCAAATAACTTGACCAACATTAAAATAGGGACCACATCCACACTAATGATCGACTCTGGAGGACAATACTTGGGTACGAAATTCTGAATCCCTTTATTTTATTTTGCTAGGAAATTGAATTAAAGCAAGTTGAATTAAATGGAACAAGAACTAATTTTAAATTCAAAATTTACTTTAAATATAAAATTCGAAAAACATTCAGTTATTCTTTTTTACGTTTCCTTCAATTCTTCGCCGATCGCAAGTAGTCGAGACATGAAAAGCATGAGCAAAATTATTTAACAGATGGTACCACAGACGTGACCAGAACTCTTCACTTGGGAGTGCCGACTGATGAACAGAAAAAAGCCTACACGAGAGTGCTGATCGGTTCGATTGAATTATCGTCTTTGATCTTTCCCAATGATCTGTCGACAGACCAATTGGATGTTGTTGCGCGAAGGTCGTTGTGGAGTAGCGGTTACGATTACATGCATGGCACTGGTCACGGAATTGGTCATTTTTCTTCAGTTCACGAATGTTCGTAATCTACAGTTTCCTGTAAAATAATTGCGTCACGAGAATATGGAATACAATTGATAAAAGCCATTCTAGTGGAACAATACGCGTTGCAGCGCCTATCAGCTTGTATTACGGATGCAAAAATGCAGGATGTTCCGTCAAGTTGAAGCCAGGATTCTTTCTTTCAAACGAACCGGGGTATTACAAAGAAGACGATTTTGGTGTTCGTTTGGAGAATATTCTTGAAGTAATTCCGGCTGATAAATTGGTATATCTTTTGATACATTCTCATCTACTATATGACCGTATATGTAATTAATTATTATACGAAATATATAAAAACAGCTGTGTAATGATACAAAGAAATTGTAATTACTAGTTTTTAATTATTAGCTGATAACTGTTTCAGTCTCATAATGGGCAAAGATTTCTCACATTCAGAGACGTCACTCTGGTTCCGTACGAACCGAAACTTATCAAGATCAATATGCTAACTTCACCGCATGTAAGTTTTAAATATATCAGTCTACAACTACTTAATTTTAATTATAATCACAAAAAATAACGATATGTTGCACAATATTAACATGTCTATATTACATAGCGGCGTTGGCTAAATAATTATAATAAACGTATACGGGAAGAAGTCGGAGCAGAATTAAAAAAGAATTTAAAAATGAAAGCATTTTACTGGATGATGGCGAAAACTATGACCATTCCAGAAACAGGCAGCTATTATTTCCCTGATAATTCTCAGGCAATATCGTCTACCAATAGGCAATTCCATACTTTAGTTATAATTGTTGCCATTTATCACATCATAAAAAGTAAGCGATATTCAAACACAACCTTATGCATTTATTACAATTTATTTACTGAAACTGAAGAATGATGCATCAATTTTTGTTGCAGATTTCACAAGAATACGCGACTAAACTAGGAAACACATCTATATTGCCAAATATTTGCCAAAATTACAGACCTTTTTTGCTTTACGGAACTTTTTTAAAATGTACATCATTTCCAAGATTGATATAGGATATCATATAATTACATTTAGGCAAGAAAAACAGAAATAAACTTTAATAAATTATTTTTCTATATACATATCTGTACTATTTTTTCTTTTCTTTATCCTTCTTTCTGAGCTCTAGTCCTTCATCTATGAAGTCTTGAATTGGATCTTCTATTGAATCCAAAAACTCTACAGGTTCTGGATTATTTGGTGAGGCAGTCACATAAAGTTTAAAATACTTCAATATATCATCTAAAAAATAAAAATATATAAATCTATAATTGTTAAGCTGTAACTATCAAGCAAATGTAAATCAAATAAATATGCTAAACATATAATAAATATAAATTAATTTTATCAAAGAAACAAATAAAAATACAAACCTATTACTTTCTTATCCATTTTATATTCAGAAGCTATATTTTCACTACTATATTTTATAGGATCGCGTTTATGTTGCAAAAGAAATGTGAGAGCTTGCTTCAATGAGCACTTTCCCATAGGAATCATTGTAGGTTCATAAGATTCAAATGTAAAACCATTTTCCGAGCTCCGTCTGCTTTGAGGTAAAACCTTGGAGTCTCTCGTTGGCTCTTTCATTTCCTATATAATATTGTAAATTTTACATCTGCTCAATAATCAAATCTATTTGTGTTCAATAAATTTATGTTAATATATAAAAATATGTTTTATATTAACATACAAAAACATTAATACAATATTCAAAAATACAATCAACCCATACTTGCGAGTCTGTCGACGTAACAAAAACATCTTTTAATCGTTGATCTAGTTGCGTGTTCTTTTGGTAATGGTCTTCCAAAAAGTGTGGATTTACTGAAACAGAAGATAATTACATGACCAAACTTAATTTGGCAAATTGGAAGAACCATTAAAGATGGTAGTTTGAATATAATTTTAAATTATAGTCATTAAATTATGATTTAAAACATATCATATAATACCTTGATCTGAAAGCTTCTTTTGTTTTTCTGTAGATGCATATTGAGGTGCAGGTACTGGCTTTTCTCGAGAAATAAGTTTTGCCGCACGATTTTCAATGTTAAATGTACGAATGGGTCGAGTCAATACCGAATAAATCTTTCCCATAATTCAAGTAATCTACCTACAGCAAAACAAATTATTCGCTATAGGTATGTTCGTTCCATTTTTAACATTTATAACATAAGCGAGCATTACTTGTTTTTATTTAACATTTAATTGAAACAAGAATGAAATGATTCCATGAACGTTGCAAACAATGCAAACGTCAAATGGAACGCACAATTATAAATAACCTTGGAATATTACTGTGGTTGCTACAATGAATTTTCACCCAAGTTCTAATTCAAGTTTAGTACGGGTTTTTAAATTAAAATGTGTTAATAATATAAAGTAACATTTAATACAATTATTTCACATTAAAATTACTTTTTAATAATAAAATACTATTAGTTATTCTACAATCTGCGATCTATGAATATTAAAAAGTGTGAAAAATTTGTTAATATATGTAAATATTTTTATCTAGAATAGTATTAATGTAAGGAAAATGAGTAACATTCGAAGAGAAATAATTACACGAAAAACCATCACATAAGATTATTGTTAATTTTAGCTGTAATATATCTCCAATCATAGAATGCAAGAGTTTATAAAACGTGTTTTATACAATAATTATGAAACAACACGAACATATACGATTAAAAAGAATTTAATTTTCAAGAGAAATTTCTTAACCTTTTTGAGAGAAAATCAAGAGTTATGCATTCCAAAATTCACTAAAAAAAGTTGCCGTCTATTTGCATTCCGAAACTTATTAGGTCTGTTTTCTGTGGCTAAACTAGTGTACACTTTTGGAACTAAAAATGATATAGATATATGTTTGATATTTATTTAAAGCGAGAAAGAGAGTTCTAGAACAGTCTAGTGCAGGAACAAAAAACAGACCAATTAGGTCAGAGATACAGTCCCTAGAATAGTTATTCTAGGGACTTTAGCCGGACTCTGTTTTTCTAGGGACTCTAACTGCGCTTAGTCTTAACTAGGCATACTAGGTTGGTACAAGTGGGCACGCATAATCGTGGTGAGTTTCCTTTCGGATACGCGTCGAGGTGAGAACATACTGTATGTGTTACATGTGTTGATTTGAGACATTTTCGCGGTTGAGGTTGTTTTCTGTGCGAAATTATGTCACGGCTCTGCGCGGCCTAACGACGGACGATATTTCGGTGAGTCGCTGTGCATATTATAACAAAGAACTGGTATCAAGAGTTTTACGGGTTTGACGTTACCTTGTAACCGCCAAAACTGTAGACGGAAACGCCATCTTGTGCATTGATGTTTATATTTTCATAAATCGAGCAATATTCGTTGTTGACTTTTCATATACATTTATGGGTTAGATCGCATGCCATTTGACATGGAACATCAATTACTGGTCTAATACTGAATTTCTTCATATTACTTCATACCAAACGTAACGTTTTACTCTCAAACACTTCACTAATGAATTAGGCAGGATAGCATTTATTAAATGTTTCTTTTTTCTCTATTTCTTTTGCGCTTGAACTAAAAGTTTGATTTAATTAACTTACTAATTCCATCTTTTTATAGATCAATACTAGAAGAATCTAAGAATCATGTTTTATGCACATTTTGTATTGGCCAAAAAAGGGCCTTTGGCCCGTATATGGTTGGCTGCTCATTGGGACAAGAAATTAACAAAGGCACATGTATTCGAGACAAATATAGAAAAATCAGTGGATGGTATATTACAACCAAAGGTAAATATTATCTTATCAATCATATCTGACAAAATTCTCTGATATATCATTAAACTCTGTTTATGATATTTCTAATAGGTTAAAATGGCTTTAAGAACATCTGGTCATTTATTACTGGGAGTAGTACGAATATATTCAAGGAAAGCTAAGTACTTACTGGCTGATTGCAATGAAGCTTTCGTGAAGATTAAAATGGCCTTTAGGCCTGGAATGGTAGATCTGCCTGAGGAACACAGAGAGGCAGCTGTAACAGCTATCACCTTGCCAGAAGTGTTTCATGATTTTGATACTGCTATGCCTGAGCTCAAGTAAGATAATACAGCTTTTGTAAGAACCATGTAATAATTTTTTTAAATATATGAAAAATAAAATTTTCTTTGCAAAGATGTTTATATCAAAACTTAATTTTTAATCTTTTATATATGTGTGTGTGTGTGTGTGTGTGTGTGTGTGTGTGTGTGTGTGTGTGTGTGTGTGTGTGTGTGTGTGTGTGTGTGTGTGTGTGTGTGTATGAGCCATGGCATACAAAATACTTCAGCAGTAAAACATAAATAGTAAGGAAATCAACATGTTGGATTTGCTACTGCTTATGTTATGGCCTTACAATTTCTATTGCAATTTTACCGCTTGTGTTTTACTGTTTAAATTTTTTTGTATACCTTAGTCCTAACAGTATTTTTTTATATTTTATATAAATTTTGTTTTCAGAGATGTTGATATAGAAGCTCAGTTTAGTTTGAATCAATCTAGAGCAGAAGAAATAACAATGAGGGAAGATTATGGCAGTCTGTCTTTAGTTACACATGATCAGGGCTTTGGAGACATGAGTTTTGATGCTGAGCCACCAGAGTTGCTACGACATGGCAGTGGCATGGAACCTTCTTTGGATCAGGTATTATATATCATACTTGTCCTTTTTAATTTTACTTATTTAGTACTTTTGATCATTGTACTAAATAAGTAATGAGTAAAATTAAATATTTCACACATTTTGAAGAAGTGTGTGTGATTATATGATTTAGAATAATATAAATATTACAAATAGCTAAACAATCTTTAAATATAAAAATATTATGAAAAGTATATAAAAATTCTTGTAAAACATTTATAAAATGTAATCAGTCAATCCATAGTTCTTTGTTCATTATCATATATGTATGTAAACTTTAAGAAATGTTTTAAAAATTTGTTCAATTTTTATTAAATAAGCTAAAAATAAATAAATCAGTTTTTGATATTAAAAAAATAATTTTAAGATATTTTAAGATATTAATTGCTCCAATTTGATTTTAGAGTCACATGTTATTTAGTGATGGCCCAGGAATAGAGGCGGCATTGGAACAGAAGGAAAAAGAGCCAGTTGCAGGGACATCCGCTACAACACAACCCATGGACATAGATACACCCATTAGAGACGATGGTTTTGGTGGTCATCTTGGTCAAGATATCATATGTATGGTCAAATAATTAATATTCTTTTTATAATTGGATCCGACGATCTTTTTAATATAATTATTGTTAATGTTTTAGCGGGAGGTCTGTTTGAAGGTGGTTTATTTGATGAAGCTCCAATGGGTGAAGTACCTGTACCTGAGGTTAGTTCGATAAATGAACAACAGGAAGCAGGAGCGGTTGCTGGAACTGCTGCTTCTGTACACGATGAGTCTGATGAAGATATGGGTGATCACTTTGGTGGACCAGCTTCTCCAATGGGAGGCATGAGGTATTTATCATTCTTAAAAAATTATAATAAGATTCTAAAATATACAATCAAAAAAGAAAAATTAAGCAATAATAGTTGAAGCATTATTAATAGAACATAAATATTTGTTTAATCTATTCAATAACAAAACTTTATTTATAATCTTAGATCGAAATTTGTACGTTTGTTTTTTGTCGATAAAAATATTTATCAACTAAACTAATTGATTATGTTTTAATCTTTATTGCTTGTAATTGTCTTTTCTTGGTTTAATATTGCTTTCATTCTTGTTTGTATACCTTGCTATATACAACTATATTAACTATATATATATATTAAAATTATACTAATATATTGAATACACTATGCATAGCTCTGACGGCTCTAGACCAGCTACACCAGCCGCAGTTGGAGAGGAAATTGAAGGAAGAATTAGCGTTGCCAGTCGGCGCTTTACACCAGCTCCACCAGTTATACCAGAAGAACATGCTATTGACAACATAGAAGAACCGCCACCTATGCAAGATCAAACCACATTATTACACGATGAGGAAGAAAGCTTCGCGCTAGCTCCAATTGATGCTTCTGCTTTAAAGGGTAAATTTTTTAAATTTTAACATTGACGTATATATTTATGCCTCGTAACTAACAAAAGTCGTCGGTTTTTCTAGGATTCACGAAAGCCAAACGCAAGCGTAAACTCATTGTCGATGAAGTAAAAAATATTTCTGGTGAGGAAATGAAAGCGCAGCTATCTGATACTAGCGATATTATCACGACATTGGACTTGGCACCACCTACGAAAAGATTAATGCATTGGAAAGAAACAGGTGGCGTAGAGAAGCTTTTTGCTTTACCAGGAAGGCCTATCCCGGCTCGTGTTCTATTTAAAGTAATAATATTTAACATTCTATAATTGTTTGAATAACAAGTTTTGAAAATTATATAATGTAAATATTTCATTTTAATTATTATTAAACAGAATTATCAGAGACATCTGACCAGCAAGTCTTATGATCATGAAGACTTCGGACGACTTGGAACTGAAGAAGATGGAATGTCCTTAGAGCAAATGAGAGATGCTCCAGAAGCAGAAATAGCTTCTTTTGAACAAAGTCTCCTCAATAAACGTACAGGACGAAAACGGAAAGCACCACAGGATGACGAAGTTAGTCATTATAAAAATGATAACAAAAGAGAGAAAAATAGATTCTTTTCTTTAAAAAATAAAAAAGTTTGCAGAATTTTATTAGAATATTATAATTAATATAAATATAAATATTGTTACTATATTTAGATAAGGCAACCTCCTCAACCAGCTCAACCAACTCCAGTAGAGATCAATCAACCAAATGAATCGGAAATTCCAAACATAATCGCACAACAGAATCTTTCTTCAGAATCACCTATGCCATCCGAAGTATCTTTACCAGTAGAACCATCGGTTTCCGACATAAGCAGCATTGTGCCTTCTGGGGAACCATCAGTTATTGTACCACCAACTACCGAGCCTTTGCTCGGCTCAGAAATACCGCAAATCGCACCAGCTGAAGTTAACTCGATACTTGGCACACACGAAGAGCAAGTGCCATCAACATCGGCACAGGAAGAAGCCGCCACTGTACAAACATCCGATATGCCACAGATGGAAAATATGGGTTACGACCAAGTAAGTAGAGAAATTTTCATTTTATGATAAATGCATTTTAAAAACTACGTCCTTGCCTTGCAATCATTACTTCAATGCTTCCTTACAAATGTAGAGAACGTTTGTACATTTAATATAGAAACTTTTATTAATGCTGCACGATTTCAACAGGGACAACCACAAGTTTCGTATATGGGTTATGACGAGCAACATCCTCCAGCACATACACCTGGTGCGATTTCCGAAAGAGGACCCGCCACACCGTGGAATCACGAGGATTACGAGTTTCCGCCATCCGTGGGACCTGTAATATACTTTAATATATTGTTCAAAATATTATTTTATTATATATTTATGTAAATAATATAAAATTTTTATTTTTTTTTGTACACGTACCTATTAGTTTTATTAAGTTTTAGTGAAAAATTTTTTTAGTCTATAAAGAACATTAATTAATTGTTTATAATATTATATGTTTTTCAGCAAGAGGAACAACAAATGGATGAAACTTATGAGCAATTTGAAGAACGCGTTCTTAACAAGAGAGCGGCGCATATGTATCATGTTATTAAAAGCAAACTCGATACCAAAGATAAATTAACACTATCGGAGATGGCATTTAAAAATAATCGCAAACAGGTTAGTCTTTCGGAAAACTATATCCTATGGCTGCGTTTAGCAGAAAAAGTTTTGTGACTGTTATCAAATTTTTTAATATAATCAGTTTTATTTTTACTCTTAGTCTCTCATTGGACCTAAATGTATAAACCAACCATATTGCAGAATCTCACAACCGTTGTAAAGCTGTTTTTTCTGCTGAACACAGCCAATATATTTATCCCTTTGGTATTAAAAAAAAAAATTTTATCTTTACAGGTTGCACAAAAGTTTTATACACTATTAGTCTTGAAAAAGTTCCAAGTATTAGAACTTAATCAAGAATATTCATATGCTGAGATTATAGTCACAAAAGGACCAAAATTCGAAAATCCTGCATTGTAAAGGTTTATGCTCTCAATTATAAAACTGCGTATCTTTCTCGATGAAGAAAGGACGTTAACATCTATCTTTATACATACAATATCAAAATAACATTCACATTTTTCATGAATAATTAATCTTAATCCGAAATTATCTTAAATTGAAAAGATTCGTTGATTTTAAACACAGGATGATTTGTGAGAAATGAGGAAATATCTGATTATTATTTATTTGTTTGGATCCCCTGTCTTGGAAAGATGCGTAATGAATATTACTGGTTATTGTGAATATTATTGCATTCCTTTTTCTACATACATACCTACGTGTGCGTGTGTGTGTGTATAATGTGTATACACACACACAACCATATTGACTGCTTTTTATTTAAACAAATTCCTAATCATATTAAATTTTTGTATTTAGAAATTGATTATATCTTACATTATTCATCAATCCGAACAGGGTTTGTATATAAACATAGTAAATAACTAAAGAATATTTTACAACATATGTCAATAACATGTGCATCAATAACTTAAATCTATACATTGCAAAAGGTCCAAAACTACAAGTACACTCTTGACATTACATATATAAATTTTGATATAATTATATATCGATTTTTATTTAAAAATATTTAATACAATATTAATGCAATTAGATATTTCTAGATTTTCAATATATAATATTCAGGAACTAATTTTTTGGGGAATTTATTTATAGTACTTATATACACATTTATTTATAATTCAAGCAGTTATTAATGGAAAAATCGATTTAAGAGTATTCGTGAATAATAATTTTATGTATTATCAGGAAGAATATATTTTCTACTCACATATGTATGAAAAAGCAAAGACTCAAAAAGCTATTGAATTTTTGTAAACTTTTTTTTATAATTTAATTCATTATATCATTTGAAATCGTATTGATTACGAAAATTGCTATTGTATCTATTGTTTGTATCTTTCTTCAAACATGTTAAAAAATTTAATAAAAAGATACCAAGTGGACAAGTAACTCAATAAAATTTTAAAGTAATAACAAACTATTTTCGGAAAGAAAGTAGTGTGTGTACTATAAATTATCAAAGAAAATTATTTGATAATTTATTGTTGTACTTGTATGTCTATCTTATGATGTACAAGAATATTACAAAAAAACAATATATATTTTAACGGACTAAATATTTGTTATTAAAATTTGGCAATAAGATGATGATTTTATATTGTAAATAAGCATGTAATCAAGACAAAACAAATCATTAAAGTATAATTGTAAAAAATTATTTCGTAATGTGTCATTAAGTTTAAAATTAGTTAACTACCACGATGTAACAAATATATTGTAAATAACTTCTATTTAATCCTGTTTATTGAGAAAATAAATATCGTTTATATGTAACATCGTTTATAAACGATATTGAACCTACTAAACATACATATCATATAATACTTAAAACTGTTATTCTCCATTATTTTCCATTAATGAACTGTCAGATACATATATCAGATAATAATTTATAAGTTAATAGAGAAGCGTTTCTTTGTAATTATTTTTGTCTTTTACACATGCGTGATGCTAGAAAATAGGTGTTTTTCAGCAAGGACAGAGTAGCATATTGAATCATTATATTCCTGTTGTTTGTCAACATTAAACAAGAATGAAATGATTTATTGTCTTTGCTGGAAAACACCCAATGTCATCTAAACTTAAAACTTATTACTTTAAATATTCTATGACAAAATATTTACATTTTTTATTACCGCATGTAGGATTTGTATGTTAAACGCAATTTTATGAAGAGTGACACAAATTTAATATTGATTATTATTTATATAATAGTATATATTACATATTATTATATATTTATATAATATTTTATATTTTTATCTGAAATGAATTTATAATATACGTGCGTAATAAATTTGCTTTAAGTCATATTATTTAAGTCATACTGATCGTTAAATTACACAGATCTTTGAATAAGATTGGTATAATTAACATAGACAGTATGAAATACATTTTCACTATACTGTAAATACTATGGTTAACTACAAAATTTTCTTAAACAAAAGTTTATTCATATAACTCAAAGAAATGTAAGTTTAAAAATATCCTAGTTTTTAGTAATAAATACAAAATTAAACATTTATACTACATGTTCTTTTTAGCACAAATATATTTTGTTATGGTATTAATGTAATTAAATAAGTGTAACATTATATTATGAAATAGTTTTATTTTTTAAACTTTATCAGCATTTTATGCGTGCGCAAACTGAAATTGTCTACATACAACATACGAGCAGCAAGATTTTAAATCTTTATTATCGTGTAATATTTATATATGCAGTGAAACATTTACAAATCTTTTACATTTCTTTCGTATAAACGCATTGTATTCAACATAATATGTAAATGCACATTTTGATATTAATCTTCCAATTCACCGGCTTCCATGGCGTCTTGATAAGATTTAGTTTTCGAACGCTCGGGGTCTAGTTTAATCATATCATCGATTCGAAGGATGGTTATGGCTGCTTCAGTGGCAAATTTCAAAGATTTAATTTTTGAAATGGCTGGTTCTAACACGCCTGCTTTTTTGTTATCTCTTATACTTCCCACGAGTAAATCAAGACCCACCCTATAAAAATATAAATATAATTCATTTTAATTTTTTATTTTGTATGACAAAAAAAATAAGACAAACTTACCACTTCAAGTCAACAAGATCTGGTTTTGTTATACTGGAATTATGATAAGCTCGGAGCTTGGCAACAAGATCGGTTGCATCTTGTGCAGCGTTTACGGCTAATGTTTTTGGTATAATTAGTAAAGATCGAGCAAATTCCGCTATAGCCAATTGTTCTCTGGAGCTCTGTAATATAAAAATGTATAAATATCTTATGAAAGGAAAAAAAACTGATTGGAAAAAATTCAGAATTTAATGATACCAATGATGTTGCGAAGTTTTCTAAATATATTGAGAGTGCAGCCTCCACGCAACCTCCTCCTGCTACGACGCTCTTACTTTCCAAGACTCTTTTGACGACGCATAACGCATCATGTATGGAACGTTCCATTTCGTCACAGTAATAATCGTTTGGTCCGCGTAAAATAATAGAGCTCGCTGTGCGTGCTTTTGGCCTTGAAATAAAAAAGGAAGCTCTAAATAATCATGCTTTTATTATTTTTGTAGTACTATGAAACTCTCAAAGATCAATGCCTGACTTGAATTGTAGAATTATTGAATTAATTAATTGCACTATACTAGTAGCAAAATATATACCCTTTGATCAAAATAAGCTCGTCATCACATATCATCTCTTGCACTACTTCGGCAGCCTCCCCCAAGAAACTGGCATCGAAACTCTCCTCTCCTTCCATATTGGTCAGCGAAGTTAAAAATTGCGCACCTGTAGCTTTAGCGATTCTTTTCAGATCAGCTTTTTTGCATCTACGCACTGCCATGGTCTTAGTCTCCACGAAATACTATGGAAAGATCAAAATATATTGCACTCAATTCTAGAGCTTATCACTTAAAATATATGACTATACCTTTAAGCATAAATCGTCAATGCCACCAGATAAAAGAATGACATTAGTTCCAGCAGCAAGAATCTTCTGAATACGTTCCTTGGTAATATCTGCCTCACGTTGACGAACGGCTTCGAGTTTCTCCGGATCTGTAATAAGTACTTCGACGCCCAACTTCATTTTTGCTTTCTGCAACGAAAAGTCTAAACATGCGATTTTCGCATTTGTTATCCTCTTCGGCATTGCTTGAGATGCGACAGTACAGTTCAAAGCATATCCTTGAACCAAAATCGACTCTCGAACACTTTTTCCATGTGCTTTCAAAACATTGACTGCTTTAACAGGATATAAAAATCCTCCTTTGCCATCGCTAATTTTTATCGCGTTAGCAGCGTCAACTACCATATTGCCAAAGAAATTGGCATCACTAATTATTAGTTACAGAAAATATTTTAAATTATTGTTTTTACCAAATATCGAAAACAAATTGCAAACAAGGACTGCAAATAACATCAAAAGGATACGCTCCAATAATTTTACTTGACATAGATGTTTTTGCAACATTAACTAAGCAATCCCTTCCAAGTTCATCCACACTAACAGTAAGGTGTTCTTGAATGTATTTGCATGCTTCTCTGAAATCGATTTCATGTGTAAGTTGCATAAACTATAATTTCTTTTTTCCTCTTAATAAATATCCAATATCCTTTTGTTAATAATTTAATTAATTAACATTAATCAATTAATTTTATATCAAAAATAAAATGATATATAAAAATAAAAAGGTAAAAAAAATTAAGTGAGATATTTACTTGCAGGCAAGTCTGTAGCCACTAATGACTGAAGTTGGATGTATCTTCTGTTTCACAAGTTCATCTGCATTTTTTAAAAGCTCAGCTGCTACTATGACCTTTAAATATAAAACAATGCATTTTATATTAAATATATAATTGTAAATTTCCCATTAAATACACAAATATAAATGAATCACTTACTACTGAAGTAGTACCATCTCCAACCTCCTCATCTTGTAACTGAGCTAATTCAACTAGAACTCGTGCAGCTGGATGTTCAACTTCTAATAAGCGTAAAATAGTTGCGCCATCATTGGTAACAGTGACATCCTGAAAATATCAATTAACATAATAATGTCATAATTAACATATTTTATTTTAAATCTTTATATTTTATATATTTTAAAAGATATAGAAGCTAAATACATACACCAATGTCATCGACCAGCATTTTATCTAAGCCGACCGGACCCAAAGAACTTTTAACTATATTAGCGATAGCACAGGCAGCCATAACTGAAAAAGACAAATAATATATTTACTTCATATATTTACAGGCATTATATTATATACAGGTATATAAACTATTTATTATTTATATAATTAATTTTTTAAATGCTATACCAAGTTGATTTATATTCCTAAGGATGCATTCCACTTGGTGCTTGCAATAATCACTTGTCCTTGTTAAATATTCGATAATAAAAAAAGGATGAAATGATTCCAAGAGTGTTATTAGCATCCAGTGGAATGCACTGCTTTAATTATTGTCAAAATTTATCATTTTTAAACAAAATAAACCTAATATTTGATAGAGTCATAGATGTACATACATAAGTATGTATGTACATCTACATTAAGTCATTAATTTCCTGGTTGCTATTCTCAATTACTAAACGCTCGGTATGATTTCATATAACGTATAAAACGGTAGTAACAATTAATTGTTCAAGAGTCGGTACTAATATTTACAATTCCGTTTCGTGAATATGTAGATTTTTTACGGAAAAATCGACAAAACACTTTTCAAGAACTACGGGACATGATATAACCAAACTGTGGACTGATCAGTATTCGTACCATTTTGTGTTCGCACTGGTGCTCCCGATTGTCGGATGCCTCCAACGGCTAAAGGACTCGCTACCGTCGACATTTTAAAGAAATTGTTGTTACTTTAAAACGACGTAAGTACAAAATCACGTTGCTCGCAATGACGACGCTAAGGAACCGAGGGAACAACCCAGAAGAGCCGCGTGTAAAGACGAACAATAAAATGACTGTCAGCGCCCAACTTCATTTCTTACTTCCTTTCCTTTTATGGTCAAATGTTACATCAACAACTATTGGCCACGCATTTTATCCTCGAACGTGATTGGCAACCAGTTGAAATAAATTGGACTAAAAAGCGAAGCTTCTATTAATTTCGAAAATCATGAAAATTACGAGTGTAGCAGAAAAGAAAATCAATTAGGATTTAATATTTAATTTTTTAATTAAATTAAAAAAGTCAAATAAACATCGACTATTCCGATAGAAAATCGAGTTGCAATCGAAATTCAAAAGAAACGAATATTTTTTGTTCCGATTCATCAAGTTCAAAATGTGCTACCGCGTGTTAGAAGTATAATTGCATGTATAAAATTTTATGTAATCACTTTATATAATATATATATATTTTTTTTTTATTAGCATACAGTATATACATGATATATTCAGTATGAGAATATTTATATCCTTCCTCATTCTATAGTGAGAGTAACAATTTATGTAAATGGCATGAAATAAAATAAAGATATTCAATAGAGAATTCTAGATCTAATCGTAGACATAATATGAATGTTTATAGACAACAGACTCGATTCGCTAAGTTACAGATCATTTTCGCTCACTTTTGTTACTATCAATATATTTCTACTTACATCTCATTTACTTATAATTTCTTTACAATTTATCCTGTCTTATTTTTTATTTGATTACAATTTTTCTTGATTTAGCTCTACGGTAAAAATTAATATCAATATAATATCCTTCTTGTTATTCACAAATAAACGTGAGACGAGATTCTTTTTATATTACGTAAAACTTTGGAAATTACGTTCATCGAAATATCATATCAATTGTTGATGTAATCTTAATAAAATTGACATAGTATACAAAAGAAGTATGATTCAGTATTTATACAAAAGAAGGAAAATAAAAATACAAAGAAAAGCACTGACGTGCTTACAAGTACACAACACATGGTCCATCTTAGCTTTTTAGTCAGAATATATTTAAAAGTGCATTATTGTACATTATATTGTACATTATATATGTATATCAAATTGTACATTATATGTCTATTATTAAGAAAAATGTGGAGTAAAAATTAATTACAATACCAATTACTTCATTCTTTTTTGCTTTATCAGATGATTTTTAAGAGCTATTTGTTTCTCTCTAAAAGATCGCTTTACTTTTGTTCTTAATTTCTGCTTTAACATTGAAAATGCTTTTCCTTTTCTCTTCTCACGATTTGTGGTACTGCATAATGGATTTTGTCGCCGATCCTTAAAACCGAATTTGTCTCGTTCTTCCTGCCCCTTCTGTAAATTTAATGATGTACCTGAGCTATATTATTCTCATACATCAAGTTAAAAGAATCATTTATGCCCAATTTCTTCGCCTCTAGATAACTTTATCCAAGAGATATCTCCCAGAATACAATGGAGATATCTTCTGGATAAGGTTATTCGCAACTTATCTGGAAGTGAAGAAATTGGGTATTACACTGGCTGTAATCTGTTAACTTATGTCATATAATTTATAACAATTGATCAATCATAATTGACTATTCCTCTTTCATTCGACTGTGACTGGTCAATTCTCTCTCTCTCTTAAAGATTACGGCCAGTATAAATAATCCTTAACACTTTATACGTACCTTAACAGATTTCTGTCGGGCAGCCTTATCATGCTTGCGTTTCTTATATATGTTTTCTATATCGCTAAGTTTTACCAATTCTCCACCTTTATCTGTCTCTATTAGATCGTGCGTTCTCTTAACGCTACGTTTAATGTATGTTACGTCTTGCTTTGCTAATGCGACATCAATTTTTCTGAAATCCTTATCCGTGAGTAATCTTTCTGTAGATATCACAGATGCCTTTGTTTTTCTCTCAGCCGTTAATTCTTCATTTTTTTCAAATTTAAATTTTGCTTTCTTCTCTAATTTTTGTGCCTTCTTTTCTTGCTTTGTTAAAGCGTTTTTCTTTTGCGAAACTTTATTTGTTTTTTGTTCTCCGCTATCCACTTCACAAGTATTCTGCGCACTATTATTCTCACTATGTGATAACATCAAAGTTTTATCATTCTTATTTTCACTAATGGAAGATTTCGTCGATTCACTAGTCAACTCGTTCTCGTCGATTTCCTCGTCCCTGATTTCCTCGTCATTGATTTCTTCGTCGCTGATTTCTTCGTCGCTGATTTCCTCGTCACCGATTTCCTCCTCATTGTTTTCACTTACATCGATCCACTCGTCATCATCCTATATTTGAATAGATTTTTATATAATTTTTATCAAAAATAAATATATAATTGGTATAATAATTGAATATATTTATATAAACAAACTCGCTTGCTCGAATTTCACCATATTTGGAAGACTTTATCATAACATTAGCTTCTGTAGGACGGCCTTTGTCTTTTTTACGTAATAAGTCGGGCATTATACGCCTGAACGTTCCAATTAAAGAATGCGCTGCCATCATAACGGAACGTTCCTTATAATGCTTGTAGCGTGTTAAATCCTCAAGTAGATCCTCATTCATGGCCAATGGACATCGTGTACATATTTCGCGTACAGTATTTAAACTGGAAATATATATTATAAATAAATAGCGAGATATGAGCAATACAGTATGCATATTCGTAACAAATAAATTATTAAAATAGATTTATACATACCCGATAGCCATCACATCCGCAGAATTTCTTTCCGTTATGAAATTGTTTGCCAATGTCTTTAAAACGGGTTCTAACATATCAGGTGGTACTAATTCATGTGAAGCCTGAGCTACAAATTGTAAAAGTTTCGTAACCTCTGAAAAAAAAAACAAAAACAAAAATAATATCTAAATAAAGTTACGTAAATAAACTACATATTTTTTTCACGATTCAGAACCAATAAAAATTTATAAAGCTTGTATAGCAATCAAGAAAATCAACAGTAATACATACCTTAAAATATTAAATAAAGACAGATATTTATTAAAAAATTTAAATATTTAGCAATTAGACAATATTAAAATTATATAATAACTACGTTATATTATTACTCTTACCTCGTTGATGAGGCTGAATGAACCTTTGTATATACGGATAAAAGTTCAAGAGAAATAAACTGTGCAAGCCAATAAGTCTAGACACAACATCCAGAGTCATAAGTTTTACTTCAAATCTATCATTATTTTTTTCTATCTGCTTGAATAATTTTTCAGCAAAATTTTGTGGATCGTGAATTAGATGCAATGCTGAAAAATTATATTGCGGCGCTTTAGATTTCTTCTTTTTAGCTTTCTGAAAAATACATTAAAATTAGAAGTTATGGTTTATATTTCTTATAAATATCACGATGAATTCTGTAATATTAAACTTACTACGAATGATTGTTTAGCTTTTTTTAATTGCTTCTGACGTTTCTTCGTTTTTTTGTTTACTTTATTAGCCATCATAATTTCCTTCATACTTGGCTCATCATCTGAATCACTGTCATCACTTTCTTTTTCTTCCAAATGAGTTCCCAAAAAAAATTTCAAACTAGCAACCATTACTTTTGTTATTTTTGAAAAGCAACCTGTTGCTATAACATTGACAGTCTTGACGTCGTTCCAAACATTTTTATTATACAATTCTATCATAATATCCACAGACATCTTCGCGGCTCTGACATTAGGATCTTTTAACATAGAGAACATAAAATTTTGTAACACTGTATTAACTTTGGCATTTTTATGCTTTGCGTTAATATTTTTAATATCTGTGACAACATGAGTTTGGAGGAATTGTCTCAAGATTTTATCTTGACATCTTAAAAGTTCAAAAAATAAACTGAGAAGTGCAGTAGGTTCTAAGAGAGATTTGTTGCGTAGTTGAATCAACGCTTTACAAAATGTCTGCAAAGAATATAATTATAATATAGTAATAATTTGTATGCATTCATATTTGATAGCATAATTTAATTTCCATGTATATTATGCTTACCATTCGCATTTCATTGTCTAGTATGATGTTATGAGTTTGTAATATATCGATAATCTCTTGAGGATATGTTTTCAAATCATTTGGATAACAATGAGCAACCTGTAATAATATGCATACAAATATGTATAGCACCCATTTTATTGAGTGATTTCTTAAAATTATAAGAATAATAATTGTGCAGTTAATAAATTACAATGAGTTATTATCTATAATACTGTTATGTACATTACTTATGTATTTATGTACACAATCGATAACTATATTTTAATTTAAACATTTAAATATTAACATTTTGAAAAATAAGAAATGTTTAAATAAATACAATGTACGCGTTTATAAAACTTTTAATAAAAAGAAAATCAAATTATCATATCAATTTACACACAAAATTAAATTTCACATGGTTCAAATTTATTTCATTACGTTACAAACTATTACATATTTCATATATATATAAATAAAATCTCTTATTCTAATATAAATATCTAACATAAATACGTAAGTTTTTTTTTCTTTATTACTTAAGAACTCTTCGTATAATAAAACGTTAGGCAAAGCTGTTAGAAATAAACACACACATAAAATTATAACTAAACATGAACATAAAAATTGTGTATATAAAGCATGTTTAAGCCATATTCACGTTCAAGTAATTTTTTATTTCAAAGCCAACCGTTTTAGCTACAACGATAATAAAGTCGTGACTTGCACAGCACTTGAATTTTGTTTCATCCAACTGCGTAATGTTATCTCCGACAATAGATAATAAACCAAGCTGGCACATGGTAGAGATTTGAGCGAGTAAATTAGCATTGATATCTACTTTTTCATCGAGAATAGCGCAAAAGATTGCGAGCATTCTTGAGATAGTAAATACTCGACATTTCTTTTCCGCATCTTTTCCCGTTTTCTTAATTGATCGCATCTTTTTTTTTCTCTTACTACTTTGCTTCATAAAAATATGCTTGTCATACTTAACGGGATTATACGAAGCTAAATACGCCGCGATTAGCATGTACTTCGCGTAAAACGGTAGTTCAAAACTCAAAGCTAGTTTTGTTGTTGACTCAATTTCTCGAGACATTTGATAATCAGGTTGCAAAAAATCGCTCGTAGAAACTCTAAGGTAAATAATTTCCAAATTGGATCTCAAAGTAGCAGAGATGTTCCTCCATAGTGCAGTAACGTTATCTGGCTCGATTCGCTTACTTTCAATAGGTTCTACATATTTTGCAAAATTTATTTTAACCATGTGCCGAAGCTCGTTTAGATCTCTACAAAATCGGAAAAATACAGAAAGAAAAAGATTCAAATAATTCTTATAAAAATCTGTATCATAACTCGTTGGCTTATCTAATAATAACAATTGCGCTAATTCGTCCTTCGTATACTGGGGAAAATAAATCTTTACAGGCCTCAATGCACCTATCTTGGTATTGAATTTATCCCAAACAATCTCGCTTATCAAAATTGTACATATATTAATACCGGCTAACTCTCTGAGTCTTAAGATCGCTGGTAAAAAAGTCACATCAAAATGCCTTATCTTATGACATTTATCGAATACTAACACGATCGGACGTTTATCATTGCAAGAAATCTTTTTAAGTTCAATTATAAAATCCATAATATTGTCGCAGTTATGTTTCAATTGTATGTCACCATTTGATTCTTTTATAGATGTGACTAAATCATCCAGGATGTAATTATATATGTGTTTACTACCTAAATGCTCTATACAATTAACATAACTAACATTATACTTTAAATAATTGAGCAAACTTTGTATAATTAACGACTTTCCAGTAGCCATGTGTCCATAAACGAAAATGCTCTCTGGCATCGGTTCATCTGCTATGCCAATTAAAGAATACAGCCGTGATACAATTTCCTCACGGCATATAATGTTTTTTTTTTTTAACTTTTTTAAATATTTTTCCATGATTAAACCTTAAAATTACTCAAAAAATAAAATTGGAGTACAATCAATTTTTAGTTTTTATCGTTGATTATGTCACACTTATCTGAGAGAGACAAACAATAGCTTTGATAAATTAGTTCTTATAATGGACGTTCCTTATAGCATTCTTATAATGGACTTAAGATGATACTTAAATTTAGCCAAATCGCATATACTTTTATTACTATGGTTTAAACATATGTGTATGTGCTAACCTGAGCCAAGAAGGTTACTAGCTCATCGAGACTTTTGTTAAATTGTGTAGGCTCCAGACGAAAAACTTCTAGAGTAGACTTATAATGCAGATGTTGCTGAAGAAACTGTAATTAAACATATTATGTTAAACATTTAAAATAACCATGCGGTTTTCTTTCTTTATGCAACATATATACAAGAATACACAGGGATTGCTTGTAAACTATCTTATTTTTAAAGTCCATGAAGAAATAACTGATCATTATAAGAGAAAATGTAATGAAGAACTAGCAAAACATGGAAACTAACAAGAAAGTATCTTTATTACAAAATCTGATTCAGACCTTAGTAGCTTTATGAAAAAGAAGTTTTTAAAACTAAGCGCAAGTATGAAAATAATGATATGTCGTTTTCATACTTACGTTCTATTAATATGATATGCAACAAAATAAAATTACATAATCAAGCATTTCATAAATGCATGTATTACAAAAAAATTATATACATATACAATTGATAAAGCAATTAATACAGCAATGAACAATAAAATATAAAACAAAAATAAAAGCATTGTTCTACATGAGAATATGAAATAATAAACTCGATAGATTCTGTGTTCAATCCCAAAGCTCATCCCACGTATATCTTGGATTTATAGGAAAACGGAGAGCTAAAGCAGATGAATCACAATTTCTTTTGGGAATTCATATTTCATTTACATTTACAAGATACAAGAATATAATAATATAAGGAATATAAGGAATATAAACAAGGATATATCTAATATAGAAAAATAAAACACAAAAATATATAAGATTTACCTCTTCTTTGTAAGACTCCGAATCACGTTTAATAAGATTCTGCAATTGTGGAAGATTATCTGGTAACTGATTGTTATGTCTTACCATTTTTAAAACCTATACAAATAAATAATTATAATCATTAGGAGAAAACGCAATAGGATTTAATGAAACACGAAAAATAATGAGGAAAGCATCTTTATTAGTCAGATTCCGTATACTTTCATAGCTTTAAAAACGAAATCGTAACTACTCGCGCTATCATTCTTTTTTAAAAAAAAAAGCGCAAGCATGAAAATAACGATATGTTGTTTTTATACATACGTTCTACATGGGTTTTAATGGGTTTCTATTATCTGATCTTTATGGGTCGTTTTCGGTCTAGATTTTCAATGAAACGCTGCAATCTTATCCTATACTCATTTGTATATCAAACATCAAATCGCAATATCCCAAATCTTTAATAACCTCATTTACTGCACGAAATCTTGTAACTTCTAATTCAATAAATACCGTTCCTTTCTACTCCACGTGCAACCAAAGACTGCGTTCAGAAACATCACCCGGGTGTCCCCGTTTAGGCCGGAATCAGACTATAGGCCGCAGCACACACTCTTGCATGACGCATAACGCATAGTGCATAAGCGAATCAACTAATCAGAATCTTTCCCTTCCTCACATTCCATGAAAAACTAGAACTGTGATTGGTTGATTCCTTTATGCACTATGCATTATGCAAGAGTGTGTGCTGCGGCCATATGCATTGAAGATTATAGCGGGGAGCACAGACTCTTGCATAACGCATAACACGTAATGCATAAGAATATGTACCAATCGAAGTTCTCCGTTTCTTTCCCTTCCATATAATAGAGAACTCTGGTTGGTTCAATTTCTTATGCCTCATGTGTTATGCGTTATGCAAGAGTCTGTGCTCCCCGCTTTAGCCTGGATCCTCATACGGGCAACAGCGCTTTGATACCGAACGCTGATTGGTGAAAAACGGGATGATGGGGGAAAATTTTACCCCCACAACTGGCTTTTCACCAATTAGCGCTCTGTGTCAAAGCGCTGTTGCCCGTATAAGGGATCCGGGCTTAAGATGTCTTTTCATGCTGACGCTCGACACTCATTTTTAGCGTCAAAACAGATGACGTGATCAAAATTGAATATCAAGCGTCAAGTTTGATCACGTGATCTGTTTTGACGCTGAAAATGAGTGTTGAGCGTCAAATGAAAATCCAGCTTCAGATTGAAGATTAAAGATTAAAATTTTACCAATGAGGACAAAGAAATTTTGGCTCCTTTTGTTCTGATTGGTCAAACTTCAATCTTTCAATCTTCAATCTCTTTCTTCAATGCGTAGTCTGATTCCGGCCTTAGGGCCTGCGCACAATAGAGGAACAAGAATTAGATATTAAGATTTCAACCTATCAGAAACCGTGTATTCCGATGTAATCAATTTCTGATAGGTCAAAATCTTAATATCTAATTCCTGTTCCTCTATTGCGCTCAGGCCCTTAATCTCAAGCAATGAGTGCATTCAGTACTATTATGACTGTTCATTGAGCGATCAGTGAGCTCTTGTATCTGTTTGGTCTATATTTTTAAATCTAACGGAATAAGCCAATCAAAGGCAAGAGCTTGAGGAAAGGAGCAAGAGAGTGAGAAAAGGGCTAAAAATGGCGGATGCTAATACTTATATTATAGTGCCTTATCTGAACCAACGACATTGGCTGCGTTCAGCGAACTCAACAGCGCTCGCGGGTGGCACCCAGTTGGACACGGCTCAATTGGACACGAGCCACTCACAGCGCTTGAGACTACAAAGCTCCTAGGCATCTGGTTGCTGTGATTGGTGGTGTCCAATCGAGCCGTGATCAATCAGGATCACCCCGAATTAAATTGTACAAGCAAGCAAAATATGTCTGACAGCGTGTCAATATGTTTTGCAATCATCTATAATAATGATATATCTGTTTAATGTATATATTAATCTATACTGCTGTTGCGAAATTCTCTAAACATTTTATTGACAATTATCGCTATCGTTGACTAGTGATAGCCAATAAGAGCCGCCCTTTCTTCCAGAATTATCCTGCCATTGGCTGTCGCTAGTTAACGATAGAGTCAATTGACTTTTAATGACGGAACCAATCAGCAATTGCTTCAGTATTGTCTAGACTCTGGACCCCTATTCTTGAGCACATACGAATAATTTTCGCATACGAAAATAATAGTTTCTCGACTGTGATTGGTCGATTGTATACGGAATTGCTATTTTTGTATGCGATATTTGTTCAAGAATAGGGCCCCTGTTATAGGAACTCTACCTAGCCCTATTTCGCACCGTGTGATTTCACCCCAGAAACTGTATATTCCAGTGTATCTGATTTCTGATAGGTTGAAATCGTGTTATTTCTATCGCTATCGCTATTTCTTCGCATTGTGTCTGGGACTTAAGCGGGGAGCACAGACTCTTGCATAACGCATAACACATGAAGCATAAGAAATTGAACCAATGCATTACGTGTTATGCGTTATGCAAGAGTCTGTGCTCCCCGCTTTAGGATATATCCACAGAACTTGCATAGCTGCATAAACGTATGCATAAAGAAAATTATCCATTCGCATATCTCCTACAAAGACGCACGTAAAATGTGATTGGATAATTTTATTTATGCATACGTTTATGCGGCTATGCAGGTTTGTGTGGATATACCCTTAAGTTCTCATTTCACAAAACAGACGTGATGCGCTAGTATAATAAGGAATATAAAAAACTGGCATTAATTGCTGTGAGAAACTGCTCTCAGAAACTGTCAGGAACTGTCAGATATCAGAATAGAAGGATATCTTTATAGCCATCACAGCAGTTAAATGTCATCACAGATATAAACATAAATATAAACATACTCAGCTCTCACTGTGTCATTAATTTGAGTTTGAATTTTTTCATTGAGTGTTTCAATATATAAAATTCCACGTTTACCATCGAGGCACGCTTTGTTAAGTGGAAACATGCCGAGTATAGAATTTGGACAACGAAACAACGGCGGAATTACGGCATCTGAGGCACAAATGTTTCCAGAGTTCGAATTTTTAGGTTAAGTATTATTATGTATATTTTTTATTATCATTGTGTTGTATGTTGATTATGTATATATAAAATCTAATAAAATTAAGTAAGTAATATCATAATTTGACTCAATGTTTACACATAGGTAAAGGAATTTCTTATTTACTTTGTATGTTGTCATTTCTATCACAATCTATTAATATAGTGTTACGTATAAAGAATAAAATAAAATAAATAATATAGCATAGTATATAAGGAAAGTAAAATGAAATTAAGTATCTGACTTTACAGTGTTATGGATCAAAAATATTCTATAATCAGAACATTTCTTTTATAGAAGGAAGCAATCAGTTTGTTTCTGATGATCTTTTTCAATCATGGAGTTCTGAATTAGGAATACCTATTATGCCAGAAGGAGATATGATGTTGGATTATGATAAAACTACAAATGAAGGAGTGAAAAATATTTTTGACTTATGGACCCCCTTTAAAGAATATACATATATATATATATATATATACATATATAAAGTATTATCTTTTAGAAATAATTATTTACCTGGAATTTTTATAGGATTGGAGGAAATAGACGAGATAAGAAATGAAATTAAATTTGAACCTGAAAGTCCAACTGTACAATTTCCACTATCGCCCAGTAGCCTTAACCATTCAGAATCTAATGATTCAGATAGGCAAGTGAAATGTTCGATGCAAGAAGCGTCAAACTGTACAATGCAAAATATAAAAGCAGAAGTATGTTCCATAAGATATATAATGTTGACAAAAAATGTAAAAATTTAATGCATATTTAATGAATTTTTTCTTTTAGTTTACTTTAGAGACACCAATAATTTCTTCTCCGCAATGCACATCTCCATTATCACAATCACCTCAATCACCTTTAAGTTCATCAAGTGTAATGCAACAAATTAAATTCATACCTGTTAGTAAAGAAGACACAGAGCCTCCAAAATATGGTATACTCGCAAAAGCGGATTTTGCGAAGCAAGCTCATATCCAACCTATAAATATTTCACAAAATATGAAATATGGTAAAAATATTACATTATCTTTATATAAGATAATCTTCGAATGTGTTTGCAAAACAAAAAAGAGTATATGATCTTAGAAACTACTAAATTTTAATATGTGTGATATCATCAAACATTAGAACTATTAAAAATTCTCATCTTAGTGTGTTTTGTTTTGTCTGGAAAAAATAGCTTTTATTATTATGGACAATCGATTATTTTCGTAGTCATTATTCACTACAAACTTGTAGTGTACCCAAAATATTTCATATTCTCTATAAATTAATAATAATAGAAAGGACATGTAAGAGTAAGTTATAAAGTTCACAAAAATAACAAACTAAAAAGTTAAGATATAAAAATTCACTGTAATTAAATTTGTTCTCTGTGAACAAAAAGTCAATAATCTGTTCTCTGTGAACAAAAAGTAACCAAAAAATGATTTTTTATATATAATGTATATAATTATATATATATATATACATACATATACACACACATATACATATACATACATATATCTAGAATATTTTTAATACCTACAGGCGAGCCTCAAAATACTATTTTTCTCCAAGACATTGGAACATTTGCACAGAACGCAAATTTACAGCAAATATTGTATCCTTCAAAACTTCGGATATTACCAACAAATAAACAAAATTCATTGAATATTAACTCAACTGATAAAACGGAAACTACTACATTTCAGTTACCACAGAATGTAAAAATAATCAATACTATACCAAACATTTGTCCAACGAATACTACGGAGTCAATAGATACTTCTACTATTTTAAATAATGGATCTGTGAAAAGTAACAATATTGTTGTTTCAAACAAAACTGTAAGTTATACACCATTTCAAGTAATGCAGAATAAAATAAACTCCAATTCGTTAATTGTACAAAATGAAGCGATTGATCTTGTGAATTTGCCAAAAAACAATCAAGAATATAAATTAAAGGCATTAAAAAGACAACAAAGAATGATAAAAAATAGAGAATCTGCTTGTCTCTCACGAAAGAAGAAAAAGGAATATGTATCTTCTTTGGAGAAACAAGTATCTGAGTTGAAGGAAGAGAATAAACAATTAAAATCGGTAAACAATCTGTGCTTTATCTGTACATATATACATTATATTTGTAAATTTTTAATAAAAAATATAAATTATTTTTCAATATTATATATATTTTTTTTAGGAAAATACAATTTTAAAACAGAGACTGTTAGAAATGGAAAACAATATCACAAATAATAACAAGCATAAAAATTTCAATTTTAATCCCTTGAAAAAGAAAATAAAGGGAAGCGCCGTTATTCTTTTCGGTATAATTTTCATGGTGTCTTTCAACGTTGACGGCTTTAGGTAAGCGTAGCGTTACAGTGCATCTTTCTACTTATACATTACACATGTGATTTAATAAAAAGTTTTCTAGAGAATGTAATTTAATTTTAATATTAATAATTTATACATGTATCTTCATAAAATAAAATCTGAACATGTTAAGTATTTTATTTTTTGGCACATTTGTGAATACAATACAAGGAAGAAAATTGTTTCTAAAAAGTTGCTTTATAATTTAATATCAGTTTTAACATGATGTAAAAAGAAGGTACAATGTAAGTTTTTTTTAAGATTCGAAATTTTCTCAAAAGTCAGTGAAGGTATTTTGAGATTCCTTAAACAGACTATTGCATTGTATATTTTATAAAAATTATATTTTATACGACACAAAAATTATCTTTTTATTTTTTAAGGGCAACACTTTCACAAAATGTACATTTTAAAACTGAATCTGATAGTTTATCAGTATCTATAGCAAAGGATAAACATAGCAGAAGATTGTTCTGGACGGTAGATGAAACCGATAACAATATAGAAGATCGAATTGAAGAAAGTTTTAATAAAAGTATACCAATACACCAACCAATATGTCCAATGTATATTAATCAGAGTGAGTCCATACGTTTAGACAACGAATTAAGACGATGGATCGTTGGTGAATCTGATCAAGATAATCAGACTGCTCTAAGGAAAACGAAGTTACAGACAAATTCGTTAAATGTATCGTTGTCGAGATCACCATTGGAAGAAAAAACTAGAAAGAAATTGTACCTATCACGAGATAGGAAAATAAAAACTATGCATAAAATGATCGACATTCCTGCCGTTAATCAGTATTCAGATAATAATGCAATTGAGATCTTTTCTCCAATATTGAGCGAACATGCCTCTTTATTTGAAGCTTTAGGAAGAAAAGATGATACATTTTATGTTGTCTGGTTTAGTGGCGAACACTTATTATTGCCAGCTTCCCGGAAGAATAACACAGCTAGACCTAAAATGTCTTTAGTTCTACCTGCTGTATCTATAAACGGTAAATAATATTATATGAACGTACACACACACACACACACACACACACACACACACACACACACACACACACACACACA